AATAGTAACTATTCATTCAGTGTCTGGTCTGAGCCCCACATTAGCCAGTGAGGTAGGTAGGCATGAGATGATCCCAGCCTCATTCCATACACAAGGCACCTGGAGCTCAGATCTCAGGCCTGCATACTGCGGGCCCCTCAAGGGCAAGGAAGATGCCTCTGAGTTCACAAGGTCTGAAACAGAGAAGGCTTTAGGGTGGCTGAGGTACTTGCCAGTATCCCACAGTAAGGGACAGCATGGCTGTAGTTGGGTGCCAGTAAGGCCTTTTTGTTGACATGTCTAGTAGCTGGTGACATAGAAAAATTCATCACACACAGGAGGAATAAGTACCAAGTACACAGAACAGGACAGCACAAACCACAAACTGTGAGTCAGAGGAGGATGCACACCATGCTGGAACACCAGGATGGAAGTGGCTACCAAGACCCTCGCTGCTGAGCCAGCCCTGAAAAGCAACTCAGCTCTCAATGGCTGGAGGAAGCTGTAGCATCCCAGGGTGGGAAGGAACGACACACCATACAATGACAGAGTAAGAATGGCACGGAGAGGTTCAGGGAACACTGGCTGGTTAGGTCTGGCTGAAGTGGAAGCTCTACATTGGACTTCCTGAGACAGAGAAGGAAGGAAGGCAGCAAGTTATGTAAGTGCTATAACAAACAACTAGGATTCTCACCTGTAGGAAGAGGGAGTATACTGTGACATGTCTGGGGACATGGGAAGAAGAAATATAATTATAAAATGTACCATATCAAGACACCAATAAGAGTATCTAAAAATGGGTCAAAAACAACCAGAAATTAAAGAAGAATCCACTCCAGTGACAAAAGCAAGGGGCCAAAGAATAATCACTAGAAACTTAAAGTGTTCCAGGGTTGTGTTCACTGACAGAGTTGTACTTGAGCCTCAAGGACAGATGGCATTTTCCAAAGAACAGAGGGCAAGCTGCCCAGGAGCAGTAGCGCATCCTTCCAGGCAGTCATTTGATAAGCCAGGTCCACCATGGGCCAAATCAGAAGAGAGGTGAGAAGAGATGGGAGGCGGCCAACAAGGAGAAACACCAATGCTTAAAGTTCAGATGAGTACACGTCAAATAGTCACCAGCACGCGCACAGGAAGTGCGTAAGAAGTTACCACGTAGATGGCCCATCTGTTCTACCCAGTTATCTGCTAAAGGAGATTTCTTAACATTTGACAAGGTGACTTAGTACATGCTGAAATTGGAGAGGTGAAGCTTTCAGGAACACAGGAAAGAAAAAAAAAAAATGACAGATCAAGCTGTGATACTTCTCTAGATAAAATGCCTGAGTATGATTCAGACGCAAACAATAAGGTTAACTTTACACCAAGTAAAATCTTTTTGGGTTCACAGCACATTTTTACATGACGCCAAATGTACAACATAATTTGACCACTTTTTCTGAAAATATATTAATACAATTTTTAAAAGTATGGAAAAACATGACATCTTCATATCTGTATCTATATCTCTAAAAAGCTGGAAGGAAAGGAATTTCTCCTCAATTTTCAAATGTGCAGAAAGACTACAGGGGGTACAGGGGTAACTACAGGGACTACAGGGGTAACTATGTTACATTTTCTTTGGGTCATTTAAATGACTTAGGGTAAAAATACATCATGTTAATAACAGCATATGTCACTTATTAAATATATTTTAAAATATTTCCTAATTTCTATTTTAATTTCTCCTTTGATCTATAATTATTTTAAGGTGTACTCATTTTTAAGCATGTAAGGATTTCTTTGAGCTTAATTTTATTGTGGTCAGAAAAGATACTCTGAGCAATTTCAATCTAGAAATTTATAAATTTCCAAAGGAACCAACACATGAGCTATTTTTAAAAATATTTTGCATGTAATTCAAAGAATGTGAACTCTACTTTTGTTGGGTTTAGTTTCTATATATGTCAAGTTTATTCATTACTTTATTAAGAGCTCCTCAAGCTTAACTGAGGATTTTGTTTCTTTTAAACTCTTGAAGGGAGTATGTTAATATGTCTTACTAGAATTGTGGATTTGTTTTCTATCTGCTTATGTTTGCATTATATACTTTGAAGTTGTGTTATTTGTAACACATAGATTTAAGATTGAGAGAGCTGTTGGATCAACCCTTTTATCATTAAGAACATCTCTTTATTTCAAAGTAGCATAACTGGGTAGTTCATCTGATTAGTGTCAACATAGTATGTATACTACAACATGTATCATCCATCCATCCTTCCTTCCATATATGTAGTTTTCCTTCCTGTAAGTATTTTCCTCATTTTTCCAAGTGGTATATAAGAGGGCTTCATCACTTAATCCAGTCTGAAAAACTGAAGTCTTTGACTTTGCTGTGTTTAGTCCATTTACATTAAATGTAACTGGATTTAAGCTATCATCCTACACTGTTTTGTTTTCAATTTGACCTATCAACTTTATGGCCCTCTTTTATTCTTTTATTACCTCTTTTTGATCAATCAAATGGTTTTCATCCCACTTTTTCCTTTTAACTTACTAGATATACTGAGTACAATCCAATGCAAATGATTACTTTCACTACTCCCACCAATAATCCTAGGACTTTAAAATATTTTATCTTCATAAGTCCTCTTCTACCTTTTGTGTGACTGTCATGCATTCTGGTGCTACCTATACTATAAACTCTAGAGACATGTCACTGTTTCGAATCGTCATTGTTCACTTACATTTCACATGCAGATTCACCCATGTTGCTCATCTTTCGTTCCTGCATATCCATCAGGATCTCTCCATTTGCCTGAAGCATCTCCCTGCACCTCAGCTACATTACTTGGTAATGTAGGTCACTACTGACAAATGCTCTCATTTTTTTATTTGTTTCGGTTTTGTTGTTGTTGTTTGTTGTTGTTGTTGTTGTTTTGTCTGAACATCTCTATTTCTCTTTCTCTTTTAAAGGAAAATTTGACTGGGAACAGTCTTCTAGGCTGGACGATTTTTCTTTCAATACTTTAAAGATGGCTGCTTCACCGCCTGCCCCACTCCCATCATTTTCCTTCAGTGTCACAGTCAGCTTAACTGCTGCTCCTTTAAAAGTAATGTGGCTCCCTTAGCACCCCTTCAGAATTCCTCTAAATTTCTGTAGGCTCATAATGATGTGCATAGGTATTCTTTGTATTCATTCCATCTAGTGATGAATGGTAGGAATGGATTCTAAGCTTTTTTGAATCTGTAAGTATCTGTCTTTCATCATTTTGTAAAATTTTTAGTATTATCTCTTCAAATATTGCTACTACCTTGTTCTCTTTTTTTCTTTTTCTGGAACTCCAATTCTACATGTATTAGACCTTTGAACATGCCTTGCATATCTTTAATACTCTTATCTATCTCTTTGTCTATTCTTTTTCTCTGTGCTTTGGTCTGAGGCTATCTACTGACCTGCCTTCCTATGTATTATGTTAGCTTGTGTTTAACCATCAAGTTATGACTTCAAATACTGTACTCTCTTAGAATGCCCTTTCAACTCTTCATTATAAATTCAAATTATGCTGAGATATATTTTCCCATCTTTTACTGAACATATTATTCATGGCTATTTTAAAGTACCTGATAATTACCTCCGGTACCCAGCTCCTCTGAAAGGTCTTCTTCTATCACCTTGTTTAGGAGTCAGACATCTTGCCTTATAGCAAGTCTAGTAATTTTCTGCTGTGTACATGACATGGCGAAGTCTTTATATGTTATCTTATATCTTTAGAGAAGACAGTGGGCTCCCTTTGTCCTACGCTGGGCAGGAGGGAAGGGGTTCATCACCTAACACAAGACTGAGCTGGGCTGGGACTGGGTTGCTGTTTTTTGTAGGCCTCAAGCAACCTCTGGTTTGCCCTTTCCTGTATCACAATCCTCCATGGAGCTCAATGAGAGATCTTTGTCTTCTCAGCATTACATTCAGTTCTTCCCTGGAGAGGTTTTCATTTTAGCTCTTGGTCCCCCATCCCACGTGGCTTCAGACCTTGGCATGTGTTTTGGGACTGAAACTAACCACCTGTCTGGGATCACTCCAGTCCGGTTTGATTGACTGATTGAGCCACAGTGGGGACTGAACCCAGGGGCCTTTCCACTGAGCTTTTGTGTATTTTTTGTATTTTTTATTTTGTGAGAGAGTCTCACAGTTCCAGGCTGGGCTCAAACTTGCTTCAGCCTCCTAGATGCTGGGATTACTCGCATGCACCAAAACACCCAGCTCCATGTGTTTTCTAGTTTAGTTCCAGAAACCTCTTCTGGGCTTTGTGTCTTCCAGAAGTAACTTCCTTCCCAGGGCCAAACCTGAATTCTCTTGGGCCAGAATTCCCTTCTGCCCAATGCATCACGAGTGAACAGCCAGTCCAGCTAACAAGCAGCTGTCAGCAGACTACTCCCTGAGGACTGTCCTCTCTTGCCTGTTCTGTTTTCAGATTTCTGTCTCCAATAGGTTTGCAGTTCTTAAGTCCACTTTGTTCTGTATGGGTGACTTCCTGCCTTCCAAAAACTTCCACCCTATCACTTCTGCCCCTCTCCAGCTGCAGACTTCACCAGCTGTGTGTCTGAGATCCCACCCTCCCACCCCACCCGGTCTGTAATTTGTTACTCCAGCATGACCAGAAATCTCTGCTAACTTCTCTCTCAGACTCAGGGGCAGCCTTGGGCTGTGCTTCACACCTCCAGAATCAGCCCTCACAAGAAACAAGTGGCTGGTAACCCTCATTACACTTATAAAGGATCCTCTATCTCTGGAAATTCAGCTCAACTATTCCTCATCGTTCCCACTGTACACCAAAGCCTTTAGGAATACGGTTTTAATAACATGCCTGGCCCTCTGTAGTTCTTGTCAGCATCTCAGATAAATTACGTAGTATATTCTGTACTGCTAATTACTTTTAATGAGTTTCTAAATATGTGGAAGATGTTTTATAGTCTTAATATTTCCCAAAGCACAGTTAGAATATGCTTTTTGAAATAAAAGCTCAGGAAAAGTTACTTCTTACCTCTTCATAAAACTTCACCTGAGGTACAGCTTCATTAATTTCATTCAAACAAAAATCTTTAAATAGCAAGAAACCTAAAGGAAAAGAATAAAAAAAATTCAGGATGGGCAACAAATTGAAATTTTACCCCATAGGGTGTCTTCAAAATCATGTGTTTATACCTCAGTCCCTTACAACCCTGCCTTTATAATATGTATATAAAACAAAAGCCGATTTCAAGAGGCCAACGAAACCTAATGGCTTCAGGCAAGAGAGCACCATACCGTGGCTCCCGGCACAGGGGCCCTTCTCTGCTCAGAAGCTTTCTGTGTTCTGAAAATGCGCCATCAGCAGCACTTGCTCACAGTCACCACCATGTGGAGCCCCTGGTCATGGTAGTAAATGACAAACGAAGAATAATGACCAAAGGAGAAAGACTGGGGATGCAGAAGGGCTGGTGAGTGGTGCCGTGAGCTGACAAACACAGGGCCTGAGGAAGCCGGGGTGAGCTCCCTAAGCAGAGAGAAGAATGTTCATGACCTTTCTAGATCCTTCTCTTGCCCCTCACAACCTAGCACCCCACCAAATGCCTCAGCCAGGGCAGACTGCTCATTCCCACGTCCTTTTTTGCTCTTTCATGACACCATACCCCACCTGGACACAATACCCTGCCTCTAGAACACCAAGCCCCCCTCTCCAGCTTGAAGACTCCTAACTCAGCCGTTACAATGGAATTCAGGAACCACCTTTCCCTGCAAAGTTGACTTTGATGAGATTGCACAATCCATGGTACACATGAGGTCAATAAAATTTACTGAATAAATATTTGGTTTCCACAGCTCCTCCAATATCCCTCTGTCTAAATATTCACTCTTTTAATGATCTGGTTAAGTTTCCTACCCTTTGCAAGGCTAGTGTCCGGCAAAATGTCTCACATGTCAGGCCTAAATGGATGAATGAACAGAACAAGTTACTATCAGGATCCTGGTAGACAGCTAAAGACTGTGAAGCTCTAAGAAGCCAAGGCAACTAACGGACTGTTAACAGCAGACATAGAAGTCACAGAACAGAACTGAAGAAAGAGTTACAAAAAGTCTAAAGTGCAGGGAGAAGGTGTATGTGAATTCTCCAGTTGCAGTCTGAGAAAAAGGAAGCAACTGTGACTCGAGTTTCATTAACATTAGCATGGGGATCCTCAATGTGAACTTGTGTGTTACTGCACCATGAATTCCCCTCCACAGTTCTGGAACAGGGCCTTTGTGAATGAATGGTCAATATGCGTCCACTGGAACTGGAGAAAAGAGTTCAAATGCTCAATAAAATCGGCGAGGCCGCATTACTCTTGAGGCAGGTGCAGCATGGAACACATGGCCTATGTGGTCTCAGAGAGACGCTGCAGTGATCTAAGACAGGAAGGGAGTAACAGCGCACAGAGGCTCCCCATTTACATCTCAGTGTTTTGTCTGTGTGTTCATATATTTGCTACTGGGGACTGAACCCAGGGCCTTCACACTAAGCTACATCTACAGCTCCCACTCCCGTTTTTAAAAATCTTGAGACAGAGTTTCACTAAGTCACAAATTTTCCCAGGCTGGGTTCAAACTTGTGATTCTCCTGCCTCAGAGTGCTGGGACTATAGGCCTGGGCTATGACACCCAGCTAATATTTTGGTTGTCTTTTCATTTTTATTCATTTCAAAGTAATTTCTCCTTTCTTTTGCCATTTCTTCTTTGAAGCATGACTCATTTAGAAGTGAGTAGCGTAACTTTTGAATATTTGGGGTGTTCTTCAGGTTTTTTTCAGATTTCGATTTCTATTTAACTCAGAGTCAGGGAACATATTCAGGATGATATCAAAACTGCTAAATTTACTGAAGTTTGATTTTAGGCCCACACTGTTATGCTCTTGAAGGGTGCAGGTCTCCTTGAAGAGTAAGAAGCAATTAACCCTTATCCACCCTCTGTGCTCTTACTAGATGTCTGACTACTCATCCCCTGTCACCCAGCTGAGAAGTACTGAAATCTCATCTGTAATGGGGGATGTGTTCGGCTTTCTTCCAATGCTGTCAGGTTTTGCTTCATGTATTTCCTTTTTTAATCTTTGGAAGAGAAAACTGAAGTGAGAATTTGGACTTAAGTATTTTCGTCATATCAGAGGTGTTCTTGAAACATCTAAATGACAGAGTGAAAGAACCGCACAGTGGGCGCCTTGCTTTTGACTGCAGTTGGAATGACGCTTGCCACAGCCCACTGTGTCCTCTGGGATCTAGTGGTGATGTTGTTCTCCAGCCTCAGCCCACAGCGCTCTTCCTGGGCTCATCACTTCCCTTGGGCCACACTCTATTTCCTCTAAACCCAAGCACTTTGCCTTCTCTCAGTTTCACACCTGCTATTCCCTCGTTTCAAAACACTTCTGTTCTGGACCTGCTGGGCCTGCCCAGTTCTGCTTAATCTTTCTTTCTTTAATGAGGCTGTTCTGGTTTGTATCTGCATTCCCCCCAAATCCTCATGCAGTCATGGGGCGGGCTTCTAGATTTTTGTGTGTGTGTCATTTTGGAGACAGGGTCTCGCTATGTAGTTCAGGCTGGACTTGAGCTCACTTTGTAGCCCAGGCTCGTCTCGAACTCGCAGTGATCCTCCTGCCTCAGCCTCCCAAGTGCTGGAATTACAGAAGTGCGCCACCATGCCTGGCTTAGATTTTTTGATTCATGGTCCAATTGCTGGATTATGGGTGTGAGTGCTATACCACCCTGGGGTGGGTAGTTTGCATATGTAAGGAAGGGAAAGAGGCTTGCTAAGCCACTGCTCCTCCATTTTGCTCTTGCTGCTTTTACTGTTTTCCACCATCATGAACAGTTGTCCTCTGCTGTGTGCCACCCTGCCTTGGAGCCAGCCAGAGTATGGACTGAAACCGCCACAGACTGTGAGCTAAGTAAACCTCTCCTTCCTCAGTTCTGGGTGTCAGGTATTTTGTCTCAGCAATGAGAGAAAAGTAACCAAGACAGAGGCTTTTCTGAATCATATGCTCTCTCTCTTTTGATCTCTCATCTCTCACGCATAGATACACACACACACACACACACACTCACACACCTCTGTGTTTACAACACACCACCAAAGCTCATCACTCTACCACATTTACTTCTTTGCTGTCTACCTCCCCACCACAATATTGGCTGCAAGTTAAAAGCCATGGTGTTTTATTCTATACCATGTCTGAAGCAACAAGAACAACCACAGGCTGTGACAGGAAAGAGAACAAAGGATGGAAGGACGAAGGGAGCAAGGAAGAGGGAAGAGATGAGGGGGGCCAGGGAAGGAGGGGTTTTCATCTACTTCTTTAACACAGCTTCCATCATTGAGTTATGGAGTAAGCCAACAAATTATTTTAATATGCTACAGGAAAACAAAACCATATTTTCATCACATTGGTACATAAACTGAAGCTTTACTTTCAGTTAGTTTTATTTTTTTTTATTTTTTTATTTTTTTGTTTTTCTCCGGTACCGGGAACCGAACTCACAACCTTGCGCTTGCCAGGCAGGCGCTTTGCCGCTGAGCTAAATCCCCAGCCCTTCTGAAGCTTTACTTTCTACCAGTCATTTAAATGAAGCTTTTTAAATTGAGCAAGAAGAAAGGTATTTTGCCTTTGAATAAATCTTAGATCTCTGTGTTCCAGGTTGAAAGTAATTTACCTTCATCAACTTTAAATTACATAAAGAGAAAATTAGAGAAAAAATGAAAGGGCACAAATAAGAGAATACAGTAATACTTTCATGAACACTTCTGTTTGCAAACAATTCATTTCGCAAACAAAAGCGTTCAGCTTAACTTTGTTTCCCTTCACAAACTCTACATCAGATGACAAACATGACCATAGCTGTAAAGGCCTCACAGGGGACATGCATGGCCTCACAAAGAACATGAAAAATTACTGATTACTCCCCCTCTTGTCCTTTCCACCTGCATCATTCCGCATTTTAGCCACTCCCTGAAACTCCCTGAAATGTATCATTCCTTTCTTGTAAGTTTCCTAAAGTTTCTATAGTTTCTCGGAAGACTGCTTCACAAAGACTTCGCTTGCCAAGCAGGATGTGGTTTTTTGCTGCTGATCTGATCCTACCCTGCGTGGAGGCTCTCAGTCAGTCGCTGGCCAGCTAATAAAGGCTCATTCTTAAATCTCAATTGGCGATCCGTGCGCTTTGGTGTTTGTCAGTTGGTACCTCGGTTCGATTCTGAGTCCAGAACAATGGCCATCTTCCCCACACAGAAGCAAACACAGCCATCGTCCCCAAAATCAGGAAACAAATTAAGTTCATAAAACAAGGTACCACTGTATTTCACCTAACAAGTTCATCATTAAGATTTCTCCAGATTTTAAAAAACAAATATAGTGACTCAGTACCTGCTTACGATGTAATTGTGGAATGGCTTTGTCTTCTTTCTATATTTGAACCACTGAAAATTTCCTGGTTGTATGACACTTGGGAATGGCAAACTATCCCAATTTGCCACTACAGCATTTTTATTTTTTTATTACTTTTATTTTGTTTTATTGCTTTTATTTTATGTTTTATTTTTTGGTACTGGGAATCAAACTCAGGATCTCATGCTTGCAAGGCAGGTGCTATGTCACTGAGCTATATCCCTGGCGCCACTACAGCATTTTACAAAAATTAGTACAAAACACTGTATTGCTTTTTTAAAATATTATATGTTAAGAGCTTTGAAAGCATTACATGTATGTAGTTCCCATAAGAAATTCTGAATTTTGACCTCCTTTAAAAAAATTAGAAAGTGGGAAAGAGGAATATATTTTGCAAGAAATAATATCTATTCTCCGTTTTGCCTAGGAGAGTAAACACTGAAAAGATGAACTGTGTAACTACTAAAATTTCCTATCAATACTGACTGATTCTATAAAACATTTACTGAGTGTCTTCTAAGAGCTACTGGGCTGTGCAGTGCAGACAAAATGGGGAAGATAGTGGGTGCTTTTTACTACAGAGAGATACAGAACAGTGTAAGAGACACAGCAAATATCGCTTATGGTAAAGGCATCAAGGAATTAAATATGATGCTGAGATAGACAGTAA